TTATATATATTATTATATATTATTAATTATTATTTTTATTTGATTTTTGTCTTATGCCCAATAAAAGTTTAGTCCATATCCAATATGATGCCCCACTTTTCTCACGTTCTTAAATCTATAAGAAAACATGTCTTGTTTGAAAGATGTCTTTTATTGAAAGTATTAAAAAGCAAAATGAAGTGAAATATCAGTTCATTGAATATCAAATAAACAAATTACACGTTTTGTCTTAAAAAATTATAGACTTTTGGCACGTGTTAGGATTGATGGGTTAATTTGGGAAGGTGGTGCAATTTGGTTCTGTTTTGTTTTCTTTCGTTTTCATGATTTTCATGTAGGATATAGACAAAATAACGCAACTCATACACTCCACTAGTAGACCCTTTACAGAGCATGTCTTATTTCAGTTCTTAGGAATCTTCCATTCGTTCCAGTTTTATAGATTTTTTCGGCAAAAGTAGTGCAGAAATCAATCTAAAAATAAAACTCCTGAGTGTTTTTGTGTAGTTAAATATAACAGATGTTTCTTAACTCCCTTAGTCTACCTTACATCGAAACTCATTCTCAATTCGCATTTACTTTTAGGCATTACAACATTTCTTTAAATTATGCTTCATTAACTTTGAAGTCCTCACTTTTGATTTTGCTGGGAGATACATCTCGAACATAGAGACTAGTGTGATGATTTGAATGTAATCCTATTAATAAAGTTATGGCTATTGATATGGCTCATTACTTTAGCGGAATACCCCTTATTAGAGGATTCAAGTGTCATAAAGTCATTGACTTGAAAACTTGAGTGGAACTCACTTCATAAAACTCAGACATTACCTCCAAAGATTAACAACTTACTACTTTCAGTGGAGTGCCCCCAACAATGTTAAAATTAGTTTTCGTTAATTCTCTGAGCTTTTGATTTCAAGATTTTCTAAGCTTGTCAAGAAGAATATGTTATAGTCTTTGTGTCGTTGAAAGTCAAGAAACTTTATCTTGAGAGATCAATTTCCAAACTATTGATCTAAGCTGAATCCATTTACTTCATCATTTCATTTGTGAAGAATTGTATATCTTCGTTGAACGCTCTCAACAGTATGCTTACTAACTTGTCTTGAAATGTCATGCATCGAAGATGCACCATATTGTCCACTTCCATACTTGCCTGAGTATTTGTTGGCTTTATTGTGTGCGGAAAATGTTACCTTTGTTTGTTTTTTTGGGTAAAAGATATGGATCTTGTTTTTTTTTTTCAAAGAATATGACCTCTTCATATGTCAAAAGGCTATAACCTTTATTCTAAAATGTGCATTTCATTATATTTGATATTCACTGAATTTCAGAAATGCTTAATTGCTCGTATTAATAATTAAAATGTTCATATATAAAAAGAAAACTTTAAACAAAACATATTATTCTTTAGGTATCACAACCCCATGGTAAGTTGGCGAAGACCTCTTCTTGTTTTGTCCCAAGATGCCCAGTTCCTCGGTTGTGGCATTAAGTCTTTGTTTCCCCATGATTAGGATCTTTTGCAGCACTGGTATTTTTTGAATTGTTGAAGTGGATGTGATTTTTGTCTCACAACCTCTGGATGATTCTCTTGAATGTGGGGCAGTTTTCGATGGAATGCCCCAGGATACCACCATGGTATTTGCAATATGCGCTCTCATCATACCACCTATGATACGATGGTTTTAGGGGATCACTAGATAAGGCAATACCATGTGTGTATCGTATAATTGTTGAAACAACTCTTGATATGTCATGGGAACAAGGTCGAATTACCATGGAGTATTTAACACTGTAGTCGTCGTTGCCTTTGGTTGTGAAACGGTGATGCCCTTCTTAGAAATAGCGCTCACATTGTTGACCTCCCCTTCTTTACTCTTTGAGGATCGCCTCTTGTGGGACTTATTTCCCTCGATCTTTCCTTGTTTGATGGCCATTTTTATCATTTCACCGGCCATCATAATATCGGCAAAGCTCCTAGAGGTAATTGAACTAAATGCCTGAAGAATGGAGTCTTCAAGGTGTACACTAAGATCTTCCTCATATCTCTTTCATCCAAGGAAGGATGAACCTGCACGACTAAATCTTTCCATCTTTGTACGTACTGCCAAAAACTTTCGTTGGCCTTTTTCTCTGTCCCTTGCAACATTATCCGATTTGTCCTTATCTCGTTTATGTGCTTGTATTGCTTGAGGAATGACTTAGCCAAATCCTTCCAAGTTCAGATATGAGATCTATTCAGCTGATTGTACCACTAGATAGTTGAACATGATAACCTTTCCTAGAAGTAGTGGATCAGGAGTTGGTCATTTCCAACATGCCCCATCATCTTCTGGGAACACATGGTTATATGAGAAGAAGGGAAACTATTCCCATAAAAAAATTTAAAGTCTAGGACTATGAACTTTGGAGGCAGTGTCAGGTCTGAGACCAGGCTTAGCGCCATGGCAAAAATTCAATAGGAGTCCTCATCCCCTTTGACACTCTTATTCTGGTTCTCTAATTATCTTATTTTTTTCTTCCATTTTTTAGACTTATCCTCCTCGTCAAGGTCTGGAATATGATGGTCTTTTAGATTTGTTACTGAAGCCTGTGCCTTCATTGCAGAAAAGTCTCCCGGGTACCCTTGAAAGTTCTCGGGACCACTCGAGGGTTCGTTGTGACACAAGGACACTTCAGTTTCATTATTGAAAGATGAAAATAAATTTCCATTCCAAGTTTTATTTAGCCTTTCCTTCAAACCAGAGATATACTAAACCAAATGACTTGAATTATCCAAAACCAGAGACAATTTCCTTGCATCAACTCATCCACATAGAGATGGTGATGGCCAAAGAGATACTCATCCTTGTCAAGAATACAAGGATAGAATTCCAAAAAACAAAAGTAGTACATAATAATAAAGAATAATCCATTATAACAACATTCATGACAACAATGAACAAACATGTGAGGCTAGTAACCAAATCGTTTAAGCACTGGCAACCATAGACCCAATTTGTAATGAACTTCACTTATGGGTTGATGTGATAGTAATGTAACGGAGTGCAAAGGATCCTAAGGGTTCCCATCAATTGCTTACCTACATAATACTTTCGGATCACCGTCGGCCCCTTTCCATTGGCAAGTAGTTATCTACAATTTCATGAAGCAATATCACAGACGTAGTGCAGTCATATAGAATCCTCCGCTCTTGTGGCGTCTAAACCCTTGTAAGTCGTGTATCGAGCCCAAGCCTTATGATTCCCTAAACGCCATTTCCCAAGATCTTGTGCGACGGTCCCACACCCGATGTTCCATATTCGCAACAACGATATACTTCTCAAAATCTATAAACCATGCCATTGTTTAAGCAAACGTAAAAAACCAAATATCGTAATATATGTTGAAACAAAATGGACGAGCAATATATGTCAAATGAAATGGACAAACAATAATTGGTAAAGGAGAATCATAACATCACCGAATATTGAATGCAATGACAGATATTTGGATTTGATTCTCTTGAATGAAGAGCATTAGTATAGCACAAAGCAAAGATACCACATCGAGTGTGGAAAAAGTCATGTTCCTTGCATCAGATCTCCACAAGAATAGAGATGATGCCATAGAAATTCCTTCCCAAAGAGTTGAAGAAAAGGTCGCACTACAGCAGAATAGGTTTGCAGCGCCATATTTATTTTGTTTATAGCGTGGCGTTTGCATAAAATACGCCACAAAAGTGCACAATTCGCACCGTTTCAATGAAAGTGTCACAATTCGCACCGTTTCAATGAAAGTGTCACAATATTCATGTACGCTACATAATTATATATCGTGACGTTTTTGGGTAAACAGCACTAAAGACACGTACTTTAGTGGAGTTTGAATAAACAAACGCGGTTATAGAACAATATATAATTGTGTTTCTATAAAAATACCGCTAAAAACTAGTTGTGGTTAGGGATGGTAACGGGTCGGGTTCGGGCCGAGTATTGGTCCCCTGTTCCGTCCCCGTTTAAAAAACCGATACCCGTCCCCGTTAAAAAATCGTGGAGATTTAAACGGGGATCCCCGTCGGGTAATCGGGAAAACCGCGGGGAAACGGGTATCCCCGTTTAGCATAAACAATTATTTAAACGGGTATTGGGCCGGGAATTGGGTCGGGTATTAGGTCGGTATTGGGCCGGGAATCGGGCCGGGTATATATATATATATATTTAAATTAAATATATATTTTTTATTTAAATTAAATTTATTAATATTATATATATATATATATAAATAATTATTTTTAATATTTATCGGGTCGGGTATCGGGGCGGGTAATCGGGGCGGGGATTACCCGTCCCCGTCCCCGTTTAAAATAAATGGGTTTTCACCGTCCCCGTCCCCGTTTATCATCCCCGAACCTGACCCGTTTAATTCGATTTTCGATTTTCTCCGTCGGATTCGATTTTTTTTGCCATCCCTAATTGTGGTGTTTCTTTAAGTAAATGCCGCAATAAAAATCATATATCCCCAGTTATTACGCCTGATCCCTAATTTATCAAATACTCTTTTTCTCACCGATCTACTTTTACTCTCCATTATCGTCTCGTTCATCTTTCTCTGTTGTGTCGCCTCGCTCATCTTTCCCTGTCGTGTCATCTCGTTCATCTTTCTCCGACACTGTCGTCAGTCACAAATCTATTAGCCTCTTTTCTTTTCTTCTTTCATGCGCATCTTCTAGGTAACAGTAATGAAAGCGGGGTCAAGACTAGGAACTAGTCTTATTTTTCCCACCATTTTGAATCCGCACGTCTCTGATTTTCGTAATTATCTTTGCCTTAAAATTGTTAGTTGTTTCAATTTAATTTCTCGTGCGATCTAAGCTAGAAATTATATGTGTTAAGTATCCAATTGATTCTGATTTTACTTATAACTAAAAGTAGAAATTTTGTTAATTTTTTCCGTTTGCATTGAAAAACAAGATGATTTTATTAGTTGTTTTGATTTCCCTTTTGATCTGTAAGAATTTGTAAAAGTGTTTCAATGAGTTTGTAATATTTCTATCCTTTTTTTTATAGATACCCTTTTACATGATTTACGCAATTTTCTGGTTTATTTATTGAAGTATTTTTTTATGTTTAAATGTGGGTTTCTTTTTTTTAGGTAATTTACAGGCCGATTAAATAGGATAAACTTATTAGAACCGTAATAGAAAGGATCAATAAAGATCATTAGTGGGAATGGCTTGTTGAGGATGCTTAGAGTGCTTATTGAAGCTCTTGAACTTTTTGATGAGTTTTGTTGGTTTGGCAATGGTTGGATACGGGATATATTTGTTTGTTGAGTATAAAGATATTGTATTTCTTTTTTCTTAATCAGCTGGAATGCTTTCTGCTTCTAAGATCACCTAGTGCTCACTGGAGGTTTTTTTTTTCCATTTCAATAGGAAGTCATGTGCTTATTTGAGTGGAATTCTCTTATGTTCTCGTGTTTTCAACTATCTGTTTCCCAATTTTGCAGGTTTATATATTTATTTGTTGGAGTTGGTCTGGTTCTCTTTGTTATCTCTTGTGTTGGTTGTATTGGAGCTGCAACACGAATTTATACTGCTTGATTTGTGTATCTTAATTACTCGTTTGATGGTTAAAAAGTGGAAATGATATGTCGCATAGATCGGTTCACAAACATAGACGTAGGGATTCAAACGGTGGAAGAAACAAAAAATGAAAAATTAACTGATATTGGATCTTTAGAAGTACCGGATGCAGTTGAAGAAACTGTAGAAATTAAAGGTAATGTTCCACACTTTATTTAAATGGTGGTCGATTTTTCTTATTGATTTGATTTTGAAAACTTACACTGAATAATTTCTTACATAGCTGAAAATGGTTGAAGGCGCAAGACTAGAGAGCACACTACGTTGAAGGAATTATACCAATTTCCTCCTATGTGGATAAAAAAGTTGCTCAAGTGAAAGCTAAAGCTGAAGCGAGAGAAATAATATAAAGACTTTCAAAATCAATTTCAAGCTATGAAGAAGATGCTACAACACAATCAAGCATAGAATCCACCATCTTTGGTGATTTCTTAGGTTCATGCTCTCTTTATTCTAGTGATCAATGTTAAACTACATTTCACTTTAATGTTTATAAACTTTGATTTATTTTTATTGTTAAATATTTCTACTTAATACATGTTGTAATTAAATTTGAAATTTGTTGTTATTTAATAATGTTACATGATATTTAATTTGGATAATACATAGCAAAAAACAATATTCCAAAATCAGTTTTCCCTAGCGGCATTTGTAAAACAAATGTCGCTACAATGCAGGCTTTTGTGGTGTTTTGGGATAATACGCCTCTAATGGCATAAACAATTATGGCGTTTGTAAAAAATGCCACTATATATATAGTCACTAGCGGTGTGTACAAAAATTTCCACTAAATAACATAACATATAGCGACATTTGTATCCTAAAACATCACTAAAGATAAGATAATTAACAACTTTTGTATCCCAAAATGCCATGCATGAAATTCATCCCTAAGCTTCCATGTGTACCCTTGCTACAAAAAGAACAAAAATAGAGAATAAAATAGAAATAAATAACTAGTGCAAAATAAAATAAAAATATATTATTTATATACATAGTACAAATTTTTGTTGCGTAGGCAACAAAATTCGTTCAGGAAAGAAGGGCAAACTCTTGGGCATCGTGAAATAACGACACCAATTTATCACGTAGGATAGGTGCTCCATTGTACGCCTTCATTCATTGACCATTCACCTTAAAGGTTGACTTATCATCAATGTGCTTGATTTCTACTACGCCATGGCTATGGACTTTATGTACGATGAACAGTCCTGACCATCTAGATTTAAGCTTGCCTAGAAATAGCTTGAGTCATGAATTATATAGCAATACTTGTTGTCCAGGAAAAAATTGGCTAGGAAACTTTTTTTTGTCATGACATCTTTTCATATTTTCCTTGTAAAGGCAGTCATTTTCATACGTCTAAGCTCTAAATTCATCCATTTCATTAAGCTCCAACAATCTTCTTTCTCCAACAAGCCGTGCATCCATATTTAGTTTCTTAATGGCCCAAAATGCTTTGTGTTCCGATTCCACGGGCAAATGGCATGCCTTGCCAAATACTAGCTTGAATGGTGACATTCTGAGTGGTGTTTTGAATGTTGTTTGGTAGGCCCATAGTGACTCATCGAGCTTCGACGACCAATTTTGCGCTTGGGGTTGACCATATTCTCAAGAATTTGTTTGATCTCACGAATAGAGAACTCAACCTACCCATTAGTATGGTGATGGTATGTCGTGGCAATTTTGTGGCACACCCTGTATCTTTTCAGCTCTTTGGCATTTAATTTGTTGTCAAAGTGAGTACCTTCATCACTGATAATTGCTCGTGGTGCTCCAAAACGTGTGAATATGTTTTTGTGCAAGAATTTCAACACGGACTTGGAGTCATTGAGAGGTGTGGCCGCGACTTCAACCCATTTGGGAACATAATCTACTGCCAGGAGTATGTACAGATCACCAAAGGATGATGGTAAAGGTCCCACAAAATTGATCCCCCATACATCGAAGAAGGCATCTAAGTTGATAAAGCTAAAGTGGAAATAATTGAGCATTTTTCTCCACCCACCACTGTGAAGGGCATATGAATTTTACTAGGGCATAAGAATTTTCCTAGGGCATGTAGGATTCTACATGCGGTTCATCAAGGACTTTTCAAATATTTCAAAGCCTTTGTGTTTGCTGCTTCAACAAAAACAACCATTCGTGTTCAATAATGAATGCGTCAACACGTTCACTGGTCTAAAGAAAAACTTGCCTCGGCACCAATTGTTGTTCCACCTGACTGGGATGCCCCTTTTGAGCTAATGTGTGATACAAGTGACTATGTTGTAGGGGCAGTTTTAGGGTAAAGAAAAGGTAAAATCTTCCATGTCATCTATTATGCTAGTCGTACCCTTAATGATGCATAACTTAATTATACTACCACTGAAAAAGAACTGCTTGTCGTGGTATTTGCTTATGATAAGTTTAGGTCATATCTTATAGGAACTAAGGTCATTGTACATACTGATCACTCTGCCATCAAGTACTTAGTTAATAAAAAAAGATGCAAAACCTAGGCTTATTAGGTGGATATTCTTGCTACAAGAATTCAATTTGGAGGTAAAGGATAGGAAGGGTACTAAAAACCAAGTAGAAGATCACTTGTCTAGGCTAGAGAATAAAAACATTTGCCATGACATGAAGGGTACACTGACATAGTTAACTTTCTTGTTAGTGGTGTTATGCCTCCATATTTATCTAGCTAGGGCAAGAAAAACTTTAGACATGATGTACGCCACTATTACTGGGATGAACCATTCCTATTCAAGCAAGGCGGCGACCAAATAATTCGTAGGTACGTCCTTGAAGAAGAACATAATGAGATCCTATTTCATTGCCATACATTTAGTGTGGAGGGCACTTTGGTGGGATGAGGACTACTGCAAAGTTCCTTTAATTTGGCTTCTACTGGCCCACTTTGTTCAAGGATGCGCATGACTTCTATAAGTCATGTGATTGTTGTCAGTGCCCTGAGAGCATATCGAAGAGAAATGAGATACCATGGAAAAACATTTTGAAAATTTCCAAGGTATGCCCGATTTTTGAAGGACCTTTGCACAACAAAGAGAAACCTTACCGGGAACGAGAAGGTAAATCTAGAAGAACATGTCTCAGTCGTATTCAAACAAAAGTTATCACCGAAATTGAAAGACCAAGCTATGTTTGCAATACCTTGTAAAATTGGTAAAGTTGGGATAAAACGAGCCATGTGTGATCTTGGCACTTTTATTAATGTAATGCCTCCTCTGTTTACAATATGATTACTAATGCACCCATGAAGCCTACAAAAATATCAATTCATCTTGTCGACAATCTGTCATTTACCCAGAAGGACTCTTGGAAAACGTGGTAGTTGAGGTAAACAATTTAATATTTCCTGCTTATTTTTATGTAATTGACATGGAGAATGATTGCACAAGCACATCTTTTGATATCCTATTGGGGCATCCTTTCCTAAGTATTGCACACACGAAGATTGACGTACGAAGTGGGATTTTAACTATGGAATTTGATGGCGAGGTTGTTAAGTTTGATGTGTATAAGAAAATGAAACACCCAGATAAAGTGGCAAGCATAAATTATGTTGGTATTATTGATCCTTTGGAAAATGAGTTTGTAGAAACTAATGTAACCAAAATATGAATATTAATGAATATTAAAAAAATATGAATACGAAAGTCTCCAACTATCGGTTCACCTAGATCGAGTATTTAAAAGAGAGAAACTATAGGAGTGTAAGCTATTAAGCTTAGTGTGCCTTTAAAGTGTACGCAAACAAAAGTCAAAACACAAACAAATACACTGGTCGATTCAATCAGATATATTCATGATCTGAAGTCAACTAATAATAAATCATAATCCGATTCAAATAATGATATACATGATTTGGATGTTAAGGAAACTCTTATGCACCCACCCATACTCTAATCACACCATAAGAAGAATGGGTTCCCCATAACCGCTCAAACTACAATCACACCCTATTCGAAGCGTACCATCTGCCACACAGACAGAGGCCACAAAATCTAAAAAGTGATATTCACCCCGTCGAGTGAATGCACTGAACTTCCCTATCAAAATTTGTTCCAATATGACTTGCAAATGAAATACATATCCAAAGTCCGATTCGAATAACACATATTCAAATAACAATATTTCATGAAAAAACATTTTTGAAGCATATATTCTGATTATGATTCCAATTCCGATAATTCAATGCAATAACATATTTAGTATGCACAATATAAATTTAAATTTTAACAAATTAACAAACATCACATGACATTTATCCGAGTCACGCTTGAGTCAATTTTCACAATTAAACATGCTTCCAAATAATTTCTAAATCAATCAAACAAGCAATAAATCACTCAATACAAATATAGCACTGAGTAGAGATACACCTTGACAATATAGCTAACAATGACCGTAACGTCAATCACTATCAACTCGAGCAGTGGATCGACCAGAATCAATGCCTACGATAAATATTTAAAAATTAATAAATTATTCTAAATTTAACTACATAACTAGATGTAATCACCATTTTTATCCTAAAATCATCACAGCCATACCTGCTGCAGCAGCCATGCCTCACATCAATTACTACCAACAGCCCCATCCCGGGCTTACCCTGCCACCAACCGAGCAGACCCATACCTCAAACTTACCCTACCACCAAACACGTCAGGAAGATAATTTTTGATT